ATATATTGCTATATTGCAGAATGCAGTTTCCAAATATTTTCGCCGTTTACGTGATAGAAATGTCTACCAGTAAAATTTATAGCTAATATGGTGTATGATTTATATATATATATTGCAGAATGCAGTTTCCAAATATTTTCGCCGTTTACGTGATAGAAATGTCTACCAGTAAAATTTATAGCTAATATTCATATAGGGTGTATGATAATATATATATCTTTCTCTTAAGAGAAAAGCTTTTTATATTCTTGATGAATTTTAAGATCGCAAAATATGTCAAAAGTTTTGTTCTTTTCTCTAATAACCGATTTAATTGCAAGATTATATATTTAATAATAAAAAAGCATTAAGACGCATTCGATGTACTTATAAAATAAAATTCTATTCTCCAAATTTATGCCAAAAGTGAACTTTGATCGCGATAATTTGCCATAAAAATATTCAACGTTAAATATTAAAGATTTACATGCAATTTTCGTTAAAATAAACCGATATATTTATTAGGAAATCTTTCTTCGATTCAGTAGTAATTACCAAACACTCTGTAGACGCGCATGTTATTATTGTTTGGCGATATTAAATGCCGCGAGCTTTGCGCATAGCGGTGTCACGTGCGGAGCGTACATCATTCTGAATATGTAATTGGAAAGAGGATAATGATTGTGGAGCGCAATCCGCGAACGCGATAATAATCGGGTGGCATTCGTTCTAATTCAAACCGCGCATGTCGTGCACCTTTAATGGATACCCTACATCATCCGCGTAGCGCACGACTAGGTTTAAATTGAAACCACATGAGAAAATAAATCTCGACGTCGATATATCCAGCGACCCCGGGCGACCTGCTCTTGATATATATCCTATAATTTAGGCCGCGCGTCTTAGATATCCCTGATCCTCATCTTGTCTTTTCTCGCGGAACGCGACACCCTCTCGCAGTTAAATACTGATCTTCAGCCATGGAAACATAATCTTGCCTTCATTAAATTTATGTTGAGATTTATCGAATATGCTATTACCTTGAATTTTATGTCCGTTACATCTTCCTTTAATTGAAAAATGTGAATATATTTGTGTTAGAAATAAATTCTATAAGAAGACAATTGCACAATGAAGTTATGAACCGAAACATGGATTCATTCGCAGTTTCTACACGCTGTTTGAGAAAAGACTGGTTTAAGTGCCTTTTCCCGCTATAGTCATTTCATGGGTGTACCAAGAATGGACGATAAATTCTAATAAAAACCGTCACGTAGCAATCGCATCTGTAGCGGTCGCGGTCTTTAATATCGATCTACTACAATAAAATATTGCTTGAGTCTATTTTGAGAGCCTTCCTAGTCGTGGAAAATCTTCTAAGTTTCTTTTCATGTAACAATCTATCTCATCTCCTCTTTAAACATGTAGCAACAAATTTTTTTAATAATGTTTAAAAAATAATTATTCTTTACAATATATAACTTAATCAGAATATAATACTATGAAAGAATAAAAAATAATATATAAAAAAAAGTGAATATTTCATATATATATAAAGTTTTATATATCTCTTTCTTATATATAATAAAATTACATTAATAAATATAGAATAAGAACCTGATTTTTGAAAGAGCATATTTCTTCTCGTTTCTTTTGAGATTCTTTCAAGCTTCTTGCTTCATTAGTCATTATATGTGTATGTGTATGTAAATTCCTATTACAGGAAAAGATTTCAGCTGCACGATTTTATTCATCGCATTTTCTCTCACGTTTAGATAAACATCAGCATAACTTTCTTGGGGCCAGTACACCGAGTTTTGAATATTGCGACACCATCACCCAACACGACACGAGAATCATTCTCGTATCCTACGACTGTGAAAATAGCCCGGATTTCGCCGAACTACATGCGCGTGGCGAAACCAACGGCAAAACCCCATTCCTCGGTAACTTTTATCCTGCATGGTTCCAGTGCATTCAACGTCACCCAACAGGAGGGTATCGTTTACGTGTCCAACGAAACTAAGCTACGATCCGAGCCCGACACCATTCAGTAAGTTCACTCGTTCTACCCTAAATAGCTCAATGTCATGCGAGAGCGAAACATTTCCGATAATCTCTGCATGAGAACAGCAAAGCGCTATTAAGTTCAGATTTTCCGGGATGTATCTTCAATGCTTGATTTAGAGGGCAAAAGTAAAATTAAATTTGCGTCGGTCATCATCTTGCGTTGGTCGATTTCATATATGTATAGAAAAGCTATAAAACTATAAAACGATAATTATGTATTCAAATGTACCTACATAAAAGAACCAAATATTTAGACTTATTTCGATCAATATATATATATATATATACATACCTTATTTTATCTCAATTGCAATTTTAACCCTAATTTTGATTTTAACTTTAATTTTAGTTTTAGTTTTAATTTTAATGTTGATTAATGCCAAGTTTTAAGTTTTAAGTTTTAATTTAATATTAATCTTAATTTGAATTTTAATTATAATTTCAATTTTGAGTTTTGTTTTTTTGGATTTTAAATATGTTAATTGTTAATTTTTAAGAATGTCTGACTATCAATTTATTGTGAAAACACAAAGGAAATTTTAATTTAAATTTTAATTATGATTTCAATTTTGAGTTTTGATTTTTGGATTTTAAATATGTTAAATTTTAAAAATTTTTGACTATCAATTTATTGTGAAAACACAAAAGAAACACACGACACAACACAAGACACAAACACACAAAGACAGAATAACAAATGTAAAAACTGGAAGTCATCCAAAGCCGCAAGGCGCGGATTAATAATTAATAAAAAAAATATATATATACATACTTAAAAATAAATTAGATAGTGAAGTACCCTGGCACGAATATAGCTCAAACGATTTTTTTCCGTACAACGTACATGAGTATTTTTATTGCATTTTGAATCTAAACTATATACATTTGCTTATATGTATTTCAAATATTTTTACTAAAATAATATTGATAATATTTGGATACTTTATATGATTGATATGTATAATTTAAATTTTAATAAGACTGTGTTTGTTCTCAAAACTTCTACTAACTTACAAAACTTTTATTAATTTTACAAACAAAATCGCAAAAATAAAATAAGCGTAAGATTATAAGACCATTGATGTGGGAAAATCCCTAATTAATTAAAGTCAATGCTATCTCAATGAGTATTGACACTTCGCCTGTCCAGGGCAACTTTTCTTGTCATGCGAACATGATGTGATATCGGCTTATTCGCCAGGCTGAAATTAAAATGGAGCGAAGAGAATCGTGCGTCGACGACCAGGACGCTACAAGTGAAACTAGTCAACGTGCTGCCGTCGAAGACTAACACGTGCGAACAATTGGCTCATGAAGAAATGCACTCATGCGCAAATGCGAAATCGCGTGAGGATTGCGAGAAGTCCTGCGGAATCGCCAGCGGAGTCTTTAGGTACGTCTAAACTATTCGTTCACAATATTAGTACAACAATAATATGCTTTTGAGTATATAAACGCAATCTTTGTTAACAATAAAATAGGAATGCTTTACCTCAATTGAAATTTTAATAAAAACTTTAATAAGAACTTTAATAGAAACTTTTTTTTATCTCGAAAAATAAATATATATATTATTTATAAAATAATAAAATAGCTAATATAGCGGAATAATTAAAGTACGATTATAATCACGAAGCAACAATTGGTAAGCTCAATAATAGTTAGCGTTTAATTAAAAAAAAAATATTATTATTTTTAATTGCCACACCCAAAAATTATTATATTTTTAAAACTTTCTTCAAAACTTTTTTTTATTTTGCGCAAGGGAAGCATTTCATTTAATTTTCAACCAATGTAAATCCAATACTAGTGAATTTTAACAGCAGAAACGCATTTCTCAGTGCTTTCTATTCAGCGAACAAATGTTGCGTGTCTTATTTTAAAATCACACCGTTGGGAGTAGCGTAGAATACCACTTTATTTCCACAAATGAAGAATTTTCGGAAAGTTTTTACACAAACCTCTATCTTCCAAAAAGTGTAAAGGAAATATTGCATAAGAAAAAATGAAAAAATATATTTAGGCCATTTATAAATTAATAAATTTACGAGTGACGTATAAAATTTATACAACATTTGACGCGTTAAAGAAAACGGTAATTGATCGGCAGCCACATCCTATATATAAAAAAACATTTTTTTATATCGAGCATTGTGTGCAATCGTGCGCAAATTGATTTTGAAAATGACAGTGATTTTCCATAATAAAGTAAAGGGAGAGGCTATCTATGTCATTACTTTCGTTCTCTTTCCCGGAAAAGCGTCACGTCGCCATGAGCCTCAATTTCATCGTAACGACTATTTCAGACGATAATGCGTCCAGGTTTATGGCTCTTCCATTTCACTTGACTCGTTTTCGCTGTTTCTTCCGATAACTATTGTTTTGTGATGTGATAAGGTAAAGGCAATAATTGTCAGTTCATTTTTATCGTTCCCCTTCTTTATTATACTATGTTATTAAAAAAAAATAATGGCTATCATTTTTCTTCGCTCCGTTTCCCATTTCTTGAACATGCCAGTGTAATTTAGTATTTCAATTTTGCACAGAGCATTGCTTACTATTGAAAATGTTCTTTACAAGAGACACGTCATATAACTTTATCGATATTTAACTTATGATGACAATTTTTCTTTATTTATTGCTTTTCTAATTTTTTCTTTTTTCTCAATTAACTTTTATTATTTTAAGTAATCAAGCATTTATATATTGTATATTCCGCATTTTTCTAAAAATTTTTTTAAAAAATAAGCATTTATTTGAAATATAATGTAATCAGTCAGTTTAAAAAAAAAGCTTATAAAAGATTTATAATGAAATAATTTATAATTAACATTTTTTAAGGATAAATATAAATTTGTCAGAATTATTTTCTCAGCCTACGATATAAAATGTTTCACACGAAGATTTATCCCAAATAATTTTGGAGGAAACAACTTTATACCTGGACCATTCTATGTCATACGCAATTATAAGAAGACTTTAATAAAATAAATTTATGCGTAGCAAGGACAGTTTCGTCGGTCGATGCGTTTGGAGGAACAACAAGAGAAACAATCGAACCAATGTTATGACTCAAATGACGAAATATTATTCCACCTGTTCGCCGGATCTCACGTACTGTCCGGACAACGAATGTGACGAGCTGGAGCGCAGCAATCCGCGTATATGTCCGCAAGACTGCGTCAAATGTGAGTAGTATGCGTTGATTCATCGATCACGTTAACGCAGTAAAGCCATGCGTATCAAAATGTCAGGATCCTGCTGTTACGTTACATTACTAGTATTGTAAAAAATGCATACAATACAAGATTTGCGGCGACAATTGAGATGATTTTAAACATAAAGAAATCTTTTTCTAAAATACTCTCAAAAAGATTTGTACTCTTTAAATTTTAACGATGCGTTTGGAGGAACAACAAGAGAAACAATCGAACCAATGTTATGACTCAAATGACGAAATATTATTCCACCTGTTCGCCGGATCTCACGTACTGTCCGGACAACGAATGTGACGAGCTGGAGCGCAGCAATCCGCGTATATGTCCGCAAGACTGCGTCAAATGTGAGTAGTATGCGTTGATTCATCGATCACGTTAACGCAGTAAAGCCATGCGTATCAAAATGTCAGGATCCTGCTGTTACGTTACATTACTAGTATTGTAAAAAATGCATACAATACAAGATTTGGCGACAATTGAGATGATTTTATAAACATAAAGAAATCTTTTTCTAAAATACTCTCGAAAAGATTTGTACTCTTTAAATTTTAAAATATTTCTATGTTTTTAATAAATATTATTGGATATTATTGGATATTCGAAATATTATTTAAGAAGATTTTCGCAAGCATAGAATTATGTTTAGATCCTCAGTTTTAAGGACTCTGGGACAATTTTTGATTTAAAGGAATTTTGTGTTATCGTCGTCACAGTTAGATCTCATCGAAAGGAATTTAAGGGCCATTGGAAAAGGATTACTATGCTCGTTTTTGAGAGGCACTCGATCAATGTGTGATCTCGTTCGCGTTTTTCAGCCGACGATACGGCGTTTTTCGCCCACATGAACCAGAACGGCCACGGCATAAAGAGCGGGGTAGACATCTGCACCTGTGATGACACTGCAATTAAATTGCAATGCGTCTGCGGGCCCGGTGTTCAACAACAAGGAAACGACGTCCCAGGTGCTAAGGAAGAACGATCTAGAAAATCGCGGGATCGGAAAAATACCGATCCTGTGTCGGGCGCGCGCAAAGGTCAGTCGTGTCGCGACGCATAACTTTTTTCACATGGAAGTCGCGTGTGTTAAATAGTATTGAACCATAATAATAAGAGAGAAGAGAACACGCGTTCTTGAATTATCTTAGATATCAAAATTTAAAAGTTTAAATAATTAAATTAGTTTAATATTTAAATATTTTAGTACATTTCGGATTTTTTTCAATGACTGGAGAAATAGCTTGAAAATAACCGCTTTACTATTGTCATTTTACATCAAAGAGCTTGTTTTTTCACTCTATTAAGCATTATTAACCTTTGTCCTTTACGCTTTTGCAGCGTCCAGCGGACCATGCGGTCCCACATGCATGATGGGCGTTATTGGAGCTAGTCTGTTTGTTCTGATCGTGATTGTGGGCTCGTTTATTACATGGAGGTACAGGTAAGAAGCCAAAAAAATCAATTATATAGCATAATAAAATTATCTTTTTAATACGATTTTAAAATTTTACGCAACATCATTTATATAGAAATTTATTGTTAATTATTAAAACATACATAATATTAAAGCTTTCTATTCTGTAATAATTTAAAATTATTATTATAGTTTTTAGTAGTAAAAATGATATTAAAATTTGCTTGGAAAAGATTAATAATGTCACGATGCATCAAGATAGTGATTTCTGACAATACCTTGTTAGAAATCTTTTGGTCCATATGGATCTTAGAAGGATTTAGTGAACTATCGCTTCTGGACCAGTGGCTTATTGCAGAGCTTATCAGCTCGAGTCTCATGTTTACGAGGAATTGAGGACATTACGAATCTCGTGGTTAACTAGGATTTCGAGCATGATTTACTTAACCTCCGATTTTTCGAAATAAAGAAAATACACAAAATTTTTTGCAACGGAAGCATAAACAGATTGATTAATCACATTTATTAATTTCATTATAAAAAGAGTTAAAGCGTCATCCAAATATCAGATGCACTGATAACACAGATCGATAGTCCATAAAACTTCGATAGTTGCCTGCGAGACAAACTTATCGCACCATGTTGCAAATTCTGCTTGAAAACCTATATTGTTTTCGCGAAATATTTGATATATTTTCTAACTTCATAACTTGCGGACAGATCAGCAAATTCATTGCAGAAATATAAGATTGAAAGAATTTTTCACCAGAGGAAAGAATACGTTTGTTTGACTTATCCGGAAGTAAAGCTGAACTTGTCGGCAAGAATTCTTGCAGAGAACAAAATTGCAGAAGTTTCGGCAGATATGCATATTGCACCTGCTATCTTTACACATCTTTTCGCAACTTGCAATCAACTATCTTTTCTTTTGTTTTTTTTTTTTTTATTTTTGTAAAACTTTATACATATGTATTCTATGTAATTATTTTTTTTTTTTTTTTTTTATTTTTGTAAAACTTTATACATATGTATTCTATGTAATTATTTTTTTTTTTTTTTTTTTATTTTTGTAAAACTTTATACATATGTATTCTATGTAATTATTTTTTTTTTTTTTTTTTTATTTTTGTAAAACTTTATACATATGTATTCTATGTAATTATTTTTTTTTTTTTACATTATAACGTTATCATTTATCATTTAATTTTTAATGTAAATCAAATTTGAACATTGATGCATATTTATTAATATCAGAATAAAAGGCATTAAAGCACCATCCAAATACCGAGAGAGAGTAACATATAGCAATTTAAAATAAAAGGTAATTGTGAAGGTACATATATGTACATATCCATGTATCTAAAGAATTAACATATTCCGTTTGTGCCAAATAAATTTCTACCGAATTAATGTGATAAATTACGGATACTCTGGTCTTGTATAGGCAATTCAAACTCGCTAGTCCGCAAGCTATCCAAACTTTCAAATTTAGGTCAATGTCTATTAGAATTTCTCTCCTAAAGTAACTAATGCCACAATAGTCCAACTTTTGTTGAGCTGCATTAATGCATTTTGAATTAACTCAATCGAAACGCGAAGAGAACAAAGTATATTTTATCCCGCAATAAAATATAATTCGTTGCAATAAATTTTTTTTTATTCTTCTATTGAAATAATTTATTAATGTCATTTAATAATAAATTATTCTCCGATGATTAATAATTATCTTTTATAGAGAATTCTGAATTAACTTTAACTGCTATAATTGATAATGGCACAATATACTAGAGAGAGAGTTTAACTCCGAGATACCTCATTTCACGCTATAAACCAAAATGGTGAGCCAACATACTTCGTCTTCCGCATTGCAATGCTCTGCGTTCCAGGATGGCGGCGAAGGGCGTACGAGGGGAACGCAAACACAGGGTGGACGATGCGGCAAATGGTATTGGTATTTTGCCGTCCGACTACATCGATCGTGGCGATGGTCTCTTGATCGGTCTGGACACCTTCACAGCGGCAAATCGTCATCTATTGCTGCCCAAGACGTGTCCGGTAAATATTTATCTTATCGGTTATACTTGCAATCATATCAATCAAAAATTCATAAAGAATTCAGTGCAAGAAAAAAAAAGAGAGGTAAAAGCATATAAATTATAAACTTATTTTATTTTTGTATTAAATCAATTTTTGATTAAAATTGATATTGAGGAATTGCTATGCTATAAAATTGCTATTTACGTGCCATAAATACGAAAAATAATATATACGAGGAAAATGTTTATTTGCGAATAGAAGCAAAGTAATTGCATAAGATACGTATTTTCGTGTTTATAGAAGCAACAATTGAAAATGTTGAAATAATTGCAGTTTTGAATGCACAAGTATATTATTCTTTAAATCGACGTTATCTAATAAGTCTACAAAGTTGCGGAAACTTTCTTATTACTTTAACGTCGACGTTAATCTAGCCGCAGCAGAGTTGAAACTTTTCAGCGGATGACATGGGACAAAAAAGATGATCAAGTTTCTAATAGCTCTTTAATATAGTAATAAAATTGTTCTGTAGGCCAATTATATATATGCGACATCTTCTGAACAATCAGATTATTAATCTTGCAATTTGCAAGTTTTCTAAGTCCTAATTTTTTAAATATAGAAAGATAAATTCTTATTTTAATATTAGAGATACAAAAGTATTTTCTACAAGATTATTTTTTTCTACTTTTCTACGAAAAACACACATATATTTACTACACTTGAAATAAAAGGAAAAGAAATATGAAACGAACAAAGTGAAAAGACCCTATACCGTAAAATTTTCACATATTAATTCAGGAATTAAATTTCTTTGTACTAATTTTTTAATAAAGCCGCTCCAAATTATATATCAAGTAAGATATAGTCCAAACTCTTTTACAAATTTTTTATGAAGAAAAATTTTACTGAAAGAATAAAAATTTTTTACTATTCTTTTTACTTATTTCTTTAATATAAATTCTGTTTTCATATTATAAAGAAAAATCGTAAAAATTCACCTCTTTTCTGCACCTGTGTTTTTAATTGCACAACACGATTTGCAGTCGCCTGCCGCACGTGATATACCGTATACGTGCGTGCAGCCGCATAATCCCGCATAAGCAGCGGCATGCTAAAGCGCGTAAGCTCCCTCAGCTTTCCGCACGAAGAAGCGTGAAACTACAAAGAGGTCGCTTCCCGGAATCTAAACGCGAGTTCGGAAACTCGGTCGAGTTACATAGTCTTCAGGTTCGTCCAGAATATTTGCTAATCCCATTGTTCGCGCATATCGCCCGATCGCTTCTCTGAGAAACATCGTGGAAGACAAGCGTTTCGCAAAGTCGCATGTCACATCTTCTCAAGAGGATCGCTCTTGGATATCGCGTCGTGAAAATGTAGCGCTCCAACTGGTGAGATTGGTGAGAAAAAAGAAAATTTAAGATTGCTTCAATCTAAAGCTTAATCTAAAATTCTTTGAAGACGATCTTGAAAATTTTGGGGATTTTATAAATCTTGAGAATCTGGAAAATCGTGGACCTTATTTTAAATAGAATGTGACTCTATGGATTCTGCAAACTATATCAAGAGTGATACGAAAGAAGTCGTTTTATTACTTTTCTCAAAAGCAGAAAAGCGAATAGCTTCCCATCTCATCATTCTTCGCATCGTTGATTTTCTTTGTCTCGGACAATCGCGTGTTTTACTGCGTGCTTCTCGCGCTACGAATAACGATCTTGGCATGTAGATATCGGTAATTTACGTTGAACAAAATATGCAAAAAAGCCGCATCCAACAGCTGCGCTTATTCTCTGTCAGTGACGAAAACTTTTTACCATCGCTCGTATTTGCTCCGAAAGTTACTCCGAAATTAAAGTACAATTCGGCACATCTCTCCCGCAACTCAAAGCAATTCTCGAAATTTTTTGGTATAATTAACAACGTTTGAAATTATGGGGGTAGCCGCAAGTTTTGCTCAGAAAAGCAGAATCTTCTTAAAATCTTACTATGCTGATTTTGCTTATTCCTTAAAAAAGTAGTAGCTTAGTTAATAAATATATATATTTCAGTTAAAAAAAGAATTTTTCCTTCTTTCTCTCTTCATATAAAATCGGAAGAAAATACGAAAGTGCATTGCATTGCATCTTCTTTAAAGATCACAAACCCAGATATCAAATAAAAAAGAATTACAAAGTACAGACATGTTTTAATAAACTTATACCAACATTATTTAATACATATTATATGTGAGTGTTGTGTGTGTACACATCTTATTTATAATTTAATTTATAATTTTATAATTTTGTAATCTTATAATTTTTATAATTTTGAATTCGTGAAATAATGTTTCTTTCAAAAGAAAAAAAAAAAGGGAGAAAGAGAAAAGACAGATAGAGAACTTTTTTTTTCAACTATTGAATCAATAGAGAGGTGTAAGCGCATTTCCTTGCTTGGTGGCATCCACAATCGAATGAAAAAGCGGCAAAAATATCGATGGAGAAGATAGGAAACCTGTGAAATGTCGGCAGAGAGAATTCGTGATATTTCTATTCTTTGCGAGGTGTGCGTTCTTCTTGAAGCGACAGCAACGAGATAAAGTCATTGCTTTTATTCGATGAAGTTGGAACGAATGCGACTCTAACATGACGTGAGCGGGTCAGTGGGTTTGTAAGGCACGTAAAGTCTTTCGTGACGTATACCTAAATCCATCGAGCACTTCTGCATTCATAATTTTGTTATTGGACCTTAGAGGAGATTGATTTTATTACGAGAAACTGATCGGGACAGAATTAATCTGCTTCAATTAATAATTAATTCCTTCTTGTCACGAAATTGAAATAATACATAAATCGGTTTGTTATTTATTGCTTATTAAACGCGACTTAATTATATTATTTTTTTGTTTAAGTTAATTGTGATGTACTGATAATCCTGCTCGAGATCGCTGATTTAAAAAAGCCCAAGATACGTTAAAGTTGTGCCATTTTTCAACGATCTGTATTCATGCATTATCTGTATAGAAAAAACAGCCCGCCAAAAAATGATATAATGGTCAGATGTAAATATACATAATTAGTTATGAAAAGATCTGATCATATAAAATTATATATGTTATCAGATCTTTTCATAATTAATTATGTCTATTTACATCTGACCATATTATACTATTTTTTTCTTGGGAGAGAGAGAGAGAGAGACTAATTTTTAAAAAAATTTTACCGAGAAATGAAATTGTCGAAAATAACGCTATTTTCGTAAATGGATATCACGGTGTTGCAAAATTGATGTAACGAAAGTGTATTGGGAGATATGAAAAAGTTTAATCATATTGGCGTGAGAGAAAGTTTTCGGATATCGATCCCTTATACGAGATGTAAAACGGAGTACGCGCGAAAAATATCCACCTCGCGCCGTATTTTCCGAAATATCTCTGTTACCGATTTACGCTCATTTATTAATCATTACTTCATTTATTGATATAAAATCTTCATAAAATAAAGAATATGGATTAAGAATATGGTTTAATCACAGGATTTTCTAACAAAATTCTCAGTAAATCTTGTAGTGCACTAATACTAATACTAATCCGCAGCTGCTAATTCGGAGCAGTATCTCTCATTAAGCACCTGATCCTATTATCATTCCCAAAACATTGTTTAATTGAATATCCTCCCGCGTCCTTTGCAAAGCAGCTCATGCGAAGTAAATACGAGTAGATATCGTCTGACATGAATCTGGAAACATGTTCCAGCGAGGCGTAACGTCGGATTAGAGAGAGTAGAGCTTTTATCGCAACTGGCACGAAAGGATTTATTAATCGGTGCTCACACTCGCTATCTTTGCTCGAAATCTCTCGAATTGTTTTCCATATTGTAAAAATATGCAAAAATTATAATGAGAGAAAACGATATAATGAATTAAATAAATTAAATAAATTAAAGTAATGAATAAGTATATAAGTATAGATCTATAGATCTATAGATAATACTAATAATGTTAAAATTAAGATATCAATGTTTGAATGTCTAACAAGAAAAAAAAATTATATTATATAAAATCAAAATTATTATTTATTAATCTAATAAGCTTACGTTTTCAAAAATTTTAAATTAATTGTAGAATTACTCCATTTTTGTGTGAAATTTCTTTCAGCCGGATCCGAAATGGGAATTTTCACGCTCACTTCTAAAGATCGAGCAAGTGCTGGGCGAAGGTGAGTTCGGACGCGTTCTACGCGCCAAAGCCATGAACATCGGCGGGATGCCTGGCCCCACGACCGTCGCTGTGAAAACGCTAAAGGAAGACGCGTGTGCTTCTGAACTGGCGGATTTGCTGTCTGAATACCAGCTGCTGAAAGAAGCACAGCATCCGAACGTGATCCGACTGCTAGGCGCCTGCACGATGCCACCAGGCGCGCCAGTCTATCTCATCATCGAATTCGCCGAATTCGGCTCTTTACGGTAAGTATACACCGTGATATATTCGACGGTTGTGTCTCCTGATGTTATGTATGGCCCTTCCGTTTTACGAGCTTCTGGTCTTATCGATAAAGTCCTACTAATTGACTAGAAGTGAATCGACACAATTCATGTGACATGCGTATCGAAATTGGATTTACTTTTATATCTGTTATCGTTGTAATGAATAATATGTATCTTCTCAACTTAGAGATTTTATATTTATCATATTTTGAGAGAATTTTGCATTTGCTTTTTCTAGTTTAGTAATTATAAATTATAAATACATATATATATATATTATATAAAATAATTTACACAAAATTGATAAATTATTTCAAAAGTTTCAAAAAATTATTAGATAAATACATATTAAAATACAGAAAATTGAATAAAAAAATTTCTCTTTTGTAATTTAAAAGAATAATGCAAGAAAGAATGACTAAATAGCGTACGGATATTAAAGCTTGTCATTCATCTAGTACCTTTATTGTACTCTCCGATATTCTCTTTATGGGGTTTAGCAATAATATAAAAATGATAATTACAAAATTTTATTCTACTTATGCCAACGATGACTATGATTGCCCATATATACATTAAAATGTGAATAATATTACATAACGAACGTGGCCGACTTATAAATGCGGAAATAACTCCGGAAATTTATCGTGTTGAAATTCCGTCGCACGTGGAATTCCGTCATTGTCGGGACAATAACCTTTGCGAAACTAGTTGCTCTCGGTAATTAAATTTTTCCGCGGATGCAACACATGCCAAGGTACACCACTATTGCAATCCAGTCTCTCAGGAATGAACGGATTATTGACCAACAGTATTCCGGATATTGCTCGCGGTTTATAGAATAAATTTATACGAAATTTCAGCAACTATCTGAGGCGCAGCCGGCATTTGGAGTCGGAAGGCAGAATTCCCGGTTCGACATCTCCGCTTTCCACTTCGCCGATCAATGCCATCGAAGAATCGCGATGCGCCGATAATAATGCGTCAAATTGCATAATAACGCCTCGCGATATCCTTTCATTCGCTTGGCAAATAAGTAAAGGAATGGCGTATCTCGCCGATATTAAGGTGCGATCAAACTTTTTTAAAATATTTAATATTTCAAATTATTCAACTTATTATTTTTGAAAATATTTAAATTATATATTATTGTTAATTATATACATATATATAAGTCAATATTAGAAATGTCTGCTTCGTTCAGATCAATTTTTATTATAACTTTGACTATATCTTTCTGGAAGGGAATGCGAAAGTCGCGAAATGTCTTTCAACTCGGTCGAGTTGTTAGCAATTAATCAAAGTTTCCTCCGCACTGCAGTTGGTGCATCGGGATCTCGCGGCGAGGAATGTTTTGCTCGCAACCGGCAAGGTCTGTAAGATCTCGGACTTTGGTTTAACTCGCGATGTGTACGAGGACGATGCGTACTTGAAACGAAGTAAAGGACGAGGTAAGATCATTCACTAATTAATATTCTCGAAATTTGCAGACTTTCTTTTACATTTTATCATTAAAATATCATTTTTAAGCAATAGCTAGCAATGTCTTAACCAACTAATTATATTAATATATTCATTCTCTAGGAAATAACAAATATGTGAAACTTATCAATATAATATATACAATAATATAAATAATACAATGATAATTCTTTGTTACTCATTAGAAAAATATATAGACAAATTGAAAAATGTATTATAATTTAGCATTGAAAATAATCAGTATAATAGTGCAAGCCGTAGGTAATACCATTTTAACCTGATACTAACGACTCTAATTCAACCGCGACCGAATGTAATCTGCTCGTAATTCACTCGGCGGATTCGCGAGAAAAACACTTTTAATGATTCGCCCGACTCGTACTTCGCATTATCCAAGGTTTTACGATTGGTGCTCGTAGTACCCGTAAAATGGATGGCGCCGGAATCCCTGGCCGACCACGTGTACACTAGTAAATCGGACGTTTGGAGCTTCGGGGTGCTCCTGTGGGAGTTGGTCACATTAGGAGCTTCGCCGTATCCCGGAGTGGACGTACATAATCTCTACAATCTCCTGAAGGCCGGCTACCGTATGGAGAAGCCGCTCAATTGCTCGCAACAATTGTAAGTGCCTAACAACAATTGCGTCATGTTTTCTAATTTACCTAGCGTTCTTATAAAAGAGAGACAAAGAGAAAGTAAAAAAAAAAACTGTTTTAAATTATTTTAAATATCTAATTTTTTTTCTTTAGCTTGTCTTTTAAATGAAAACTGTTTTCTATACACACCTGTCTGCTATTATAACAATTTTCTTTTATAAACTTTTAAATCTATGTGTATCTTTTTGTAAACTTAGTATTTTCTGAGTAGACTCTATATAATTAACTTAGTTAGCTAATTCAAAACGACGCCTAGAACTACATGTGACCATCATTCATATGATATTTATAACTGAAGGGAATTCGTCTGTAATTATTATTAAAGTGTTCATAATTATGGTAGCGTGACTTCATAACACATGTGAAACATTCATCATCTTCATGAAGATTAGATCAAGGTGCAAAGAGTCAACCTCAGTACATACCGTGTTATTATTAAATTAGTGATATATGTGATATGATAAAAGGTGATAATTTGTACAGAGATGATTCGCCCTTCGAGTATGATGCGTGCACGGTATTTTCAATTATCGTTGCTAAAGCTATGTTCTTGGAAAAGTGCTTCGGTATAAAATAAAGTAGGTTAACTTTTCTACAGTTTGTCGTATTTTCTTTTGCCCAGGAGGGAAATTAATCATTTCCTATTTTTATAACTATTAAAGGAACACATCTCTTCGATGTTCGATTGCGTATAAAAGATATTTTTTCAGATATAAGCTGATGATATCCTGTTGGCATCAAGAACCTGGCATGCGACCGTCGTTCAAGGAACTGACCAGCCATTGGGAGCGCATGTTAGAGGATGGTGTTGAATATCTCGATCTTAATCCAAGAACCGTTCATAATCAGTCCTACTTTGCATCCCTACAGGCCTTGGATAGCGCGAGTGGTAGGTGAAATCAATAAATCGATTCGAAATATCATCTATAGATCTATTGAAATTGAAATTGAAGATCTATAGAAATTGTCATTTATAAATTAAATATATACATATTCTGACAATTCCAAATGATTTCGAAATATTATCATTTTAATCTTTATAACTCTATTACCGCTAATAATTACTAATAATATTTAACCGATTTAAGATAGTACGTTCGGGAGAATTATGTCATAATTTTTATTTCATTTTTTTAGGTTCTGAGAACGATCAGGTGGACAACGGAACTGCTACTATTTTGAAAACAAACACCGTCAACTATCTTGGTCGAATGTCTTCTGAATCGGTTACTAAATGTGACAAAGTTGATAAACTACAGGCGCTTTGGCATCCGTCCGTAGCGTCTTTTTCCGAGGAAGCTGTGAAGTCACCGTACGTGAACGATCGACCAGCGAGCCTGAATGCCAATCACTACGAGAGCCCGATAAAGCTGCGGAACATCAGTATGACCAGCAACAGCGAAAACGACTTGACAACACCTTCGAACGAACGTCCTCAGTCCTACATCGACATGCAGGGAAAGAAATCGGCGGAGACAGAGGACCTCCTGGTATTTAGCAGTATGGATGATGACAAGAACGATAATAACGTGACGAACTGATCGACATAATCTCGTATTGAATAACGTATTGTGTCGAATTTGAAATGCATCACAAATGAGAAAATTTCAAAATCACCAGAAACACACCAGTTTTCTGAGTCTCGATATTTATTAGCTTGAGACTAACATGAGGTGAATGAAAAAAATTAAGATAGCCGAACGATGAAATAATTGACGATTCTGAGTTATGCGAGAGAGGAGAATATTTATTCAACGAAGGGACGGGAGAAAAAAATATGTGCAAACGATTGGAATCCAATGTGATTCGCGTGGGACGAGAAATGTCATTTTCAAAGACGACGCGATGCGGAGAATGACGATGATACAATAAATATAAAAAAGTGCTAAATAAAAATAAATGATAAAAATTTGCTAAAATTGCAATTATAGCAACGAGTATCGTCTTCATAAAGTTGAAGAAACTGTGAGTTGAGAAATACCGCAGAAGGTATTTTTGAAACGACTGAATGAAACGCTCTATCAAAAATTAAGAGCAAATTATATCGCGCAAAGAGCGTTTATTATATTAAATATAAATTAGTAACTAATTTGTTCTACTTTTATGTACTTAAAGTCGTACGACTATCCGTCAATGATCACTGATGAGGCTGCTTTTATTATTATCAATAATAATAGTTACGTAGTATAATCATTCGTGCGATGTTTTGAAAAGATCGTCAGGTTTTTAATTTTCAGCATTTAAAAATCTTTTGCATATTGAACTATGCAAGTGTTGTGAGATTCGAGAATAGTTGCTCATTAAGTACATCAAGCTTTTTTTGGCGATCAAAGAACACTACAGGGTGTCTTAAATTATAAATTGTTTTTTAACTATTACTAACAGTTTTATAATTTTTAATTATGACTTCAATATTATTCAATTTTAAGTGGACTACACTTCAATAGAAATTTCATTCGAGGTATAATTGCGAGAGATATTAATGTTATAAGAAGTTGAAGATGATCTTCCATCATATCTTTGTTGATAAATATCTGTGGTTGTGAAGTTGTACGACGGGACACCCTATTCATGACGCTAATTTAATTGACTTAAAACTTAATCATCACGCTTCCTTAAAAACGAAATATTTTCTATTGTCGCACTAGCTTTTGTGGCTTCGTGTGTTTAACACAAAGCAGCAAATCGCATGAAATGATACGATCGAAAGGTAGAATTTTTACAAGATATATGTGCGAGTTCCGATTGACACAAACCGTATCCGTAATGTGCTTCGACGTACCTCAACGTAATGGATACAATAGACGAGAAATCGTCCTTTTTGTATTTATGTATAAAACACAACATTCCACACGAGAGAGATTAGCCTAGTTATTTATCGTTTTATGGGTTCTACGATGACCGCGCATGCGGGGGCGTGCGGGGTATGCTGGTACGCTCCAGCTAGGGCGCAAAATTTGTAGGAGCGCAAAATTTTAATAGGCGCCAATAATTTTTTAAGTGTCTAAAAACATGTGAAAATTGACCGCTCGGTCTATATATAACAATTTCAAAATATTAAAAAATATTAAAACAAAAAAGATATTAGAATATTAAACTAAAAAAAAGCTAAAAGCGGGAATTTCTGAGACATTTTTACTGCTGCGCGCGAACGAATTCCAGCGTAGGAGCACCTAAGACTGTCGGACCCCGCGCGCATGATTTCGATTTGTACCACGTTCTCTTTTTTTTTTTCATTGCTGACCGATGCGTTAAACGACTACGATATCGAACACGCGCCTTACGAACCGGTTAACATTGTGCCATATTATTTTCTTGTAATTAATATATTACAAAATGTATAAAAGATGCTTCCAGACAGAGTACATCTTTATATTACCTTCACCTGGTTTTCAGCAATACTTGTTTTTCCAACAATAATTTTATTAAAAATGAGAAAAATCTAAAGTTAAAGTAAAAAAAAGATAACAAGAAGAGAAAGGAGATTTAGAAAGACTAGGAGAAGTGATTTTCCATATTATCATTAAGCATTGCAAAGATTTTCTTTTAAGAATGTTTATATTATTTTAATATAATATAAAAGATAGTAGATATAATGGATATAAGAATTTTTTTTACAAATTTGCAATATAATTATATATAAAAAGATATTTGTTTTTTAGAACGCAGAAACGGGACGGAAGTTTTATTTGACACGAGTTACAATATAATTTTTTAATAGAAAATTATTCTTTATTTGAATCAACTATTGTCGCATAAAAAATCTATCACGGCATAGAAAACGAATATCTTACAAGCTATTTTTACATGTATAAAAAAAAAGAAAAATCACAAGTTCAATTTATCGATGCGAAATTCGCAGTCATTCCTCGTAGAATTGAAGTCGAAGGTCTTCTCTTCGCCAATCTCACCAAGTAAATTCAATTCATCGATATTTGTCGTGAAAGATTGAGGTATGACATCTCCATCCGGCGTATCGAGCTTATGAATCTCATTGGATCGATCGATTTTATGACTGGCAGTTTCTTGTAGGATGATCGGTGATAATAAACCATCTAAAAAATTAAAACTAGCTGATGTAAAAAAAGTATTGACATAATAATGTCAATATATGACAATGATGACAACTTTATCAAGTGCAACTAATAAAAAAATACAGAAAAAATTTTTTGGCGATATATCTTAACATAAAAATCAAGAAAATGCGCAAAAAGAAGCGAGACGATAATAAAAATTGTTATGATAATAAAATCGATTGTTGACCGCGACTTACCAGTCTCGTTGGTGTTTTTTGTCATACTGCTAGCCTCGTCCTCAAATATCTTCATTGTGGCGCATCTAATACTCTCCAATAACTCTCTATCCGACGCCGTGAGAAATTGCAAACAACTGATACCATGGATCGTCTTCACAAGCCTTGTCAGATTCTTGGGTAAGCGAAACTTCTGAAAGAGTCGCGCCTCCTCCGGTATATGATCCGGCTTACAGTACGGCAGGTGTATCACGTAATATCTCTTGTTCCTCTGCGGATAGTTCTCCTTCAGCAAACGAAGTAGGTGATTGTCCACGTTCTGATAAACGATCGTTGTATCGGATTTCGCGGACGACATCGACGGGGACGTTGCGACTAGCACAACGTCCGCGGACTGAAACGCAGTATTGCACCACAATCCCGGATCCTGTGACAACGTTACAAGATTATTTTCCTGAACTGCATTAATTAAATAATTTATTTTATTTTATTTGAAAGCTCTCATTACACATGTTTATTATCAAGTTATAATTTATTTTGACAACAATTAAAATTACAGACATACCGATTTATTTCATTACTCACTTTGCTGGCAGTTTCTGCGATATCGAACATATCTATCATGGCATTGATGTTACAACATCTTAAATATTTTGTCAATTCTGCCATTACATTCACGTGTGCCGGGTGCGTCGGTGAATACACCAGCAAACAATTTGGCCTTATTGCTATTCTCTTTAAAACTATTTAACAGATAAAAAGAGAAGAGTAATATTTATTGGAAAAAAAAGTCAAAAAAAAATTGAATTCTTACCTCTCTTTCTGTAAAGCTTAAACACATGATACAGCGCGTACAATAAAACAGGTGGTATCCATATTAAACTGATTATCATAATCAGCAATCGATGAGACGCGTGTTCTGAGAAATGCGAATTAAAACGCTGTTTAGCAAGTCATTAAAGTTACAAGATAATAAAATTTTTCTCGCTAAATTATCTTTACTTATGTGTATGTATGGTGATGTGCTGTTCGCGCATCCATATTCACCGCACTTTGGATGTAATGCCGCGACTTTGACATAATACACGCCATTCGGTGCCGAGAAATTATACCAAACATGCCCACTATTTTTATTCGTGGATATAACTGCAATACTGACTGTCGTCTCTGTGTCGTTATTGATTAACCACACTTTGTAATCCGTCACATTGTATCTCGACGGAAGCGGTTGTACGTACAATGCTAGATTCAACAAATCCGACAAGTCTACGTATATAAAAGGCGTGAATATTTCGACTGGAATGCCATCCTCTGTAAGAGATTCGCAGAAATAGTTGAGAATTTATAAATAACGCAATAAAGAGCCGTGAAAAAAAAAGAACTTACCGATAAGTTTGTGTTGCGGCACGTAGAAGATATATTTTTTACTGTATGCGTAATGTTCCTCGATCACGGAATATTCCAAGCGATACGGAGATCCTTCGTACGTAGCATCGGAAAACGGACATGACACGTATAGGTCTTTGGGCACGGGATGACTGGCATTCTCATACAATTGCACGTGTCTACACGCGTTCTCATTGTCGTTGGCAATATTTTGATAACGCGTAATTAATCCTATTTTACAAATAAATCTTTAATGCAAAACGCAGCAGCGGGAAATATTCAATTAAATATTGATTTTTAATCTGAATATTAAATATTTCGATAGTATAATCGTGATATTTCCTTACTATGAAAATTAATATCTGAGATCGATAAATTAAATGCGGTCGCTTTACTTTGAGTACCATCAAAGTTTTTCACGTACGCATATAACGTAAAGATTGCGGCGTCATCTTGTTTAGATAAGTTCTTATTAGCATCGTCAAATTTTAGCTTTGCGCAATCTAAAAAATCACGCAATAATGAATTTAATTCATGAAAAAATCTTCTTTGATTTATCATTTCCTACCTTCCCCCCTTTGTACTGGCGTTAGTATACATTGGAAATCTGGTGTTGGAACCAAATGAGTCTAAAAGAGTAAAAAAAAAATTATTATTGATAGATATAAAATATATGTCTGTGTATATATGATATTGATAATTAATCAATTCAAGGTAGAAGATGATTATACTGATTGAATAAGACTCAAAGATAAATTTTCATTTTCAATCTTATTATCAGTTGCTTATATAATGCAAAAGTAGTGTTTGCTTGTTATTATCTCTGTGCAATCACATGCATTTATGCATAATTTAGATCAATATTAATCACATCTATATGAATAGCGTAAGCTAATCATCATATTTGCATAATTTATGTATTATTTCAAAAATAACACTCTGACAACACTAGAAAAGTCACACTAAAGAATAATTTTAAATTATAAAATGATAAAAAGATTAAATTCATTGGAGTCCAACTTATATTTTATCGACAAATCGACATGTAAAGAAAAACGCGCAATTCCTTGAGACACCCTGTATGTATGCCATGACGTGACACCGCTGATGATTTAAAATCTATGTATGTATTATACGTGTGTATGGGTGTGTTCCATTGTGCTCTCTGTGCGTATGACTAAAAGAATATAATACTTACCATATTTTTACAATAGTCCGGATAACAATATGAGGCCAAGACGTGTTCAGTCGAAAAACACAGAACGATCACGAAGAAAAAGCTGTGGACTGTTACGCGCATTTTTAGGTTACCCGTTATTTGGTAATGCATAGCATTTGGTAAACAGCACATGTCATCGACCTCAACATGTCAACTGCTCCGAAGTTTGATAACAACTTCAATTTTCACGGTACCGATGTCATCTCGTACTCCGACTTACATGCTCCGCCGTGGATTTAAACAATGCAAAATATCGTGCACGACACAAAACGGCGTCGACGATTATTTCTATCAGAGATGAGATCAAACTGCGTATTGACGTGACGAAGACTCTGCTGGAAATAACAGGTACTGCTTACATCGCTTGGAGTCGACAAAAACGATTTCTACAAAGTAAATCATCAATGATTCAAGTCATTTGAATCAATCAGTAAACAAAAAAATTATTACACAAGCTACATAAATTAGAAGAAAAATCAAAAGAAAAAAACTGCATTATATTATCATTTTCTCAATGTTGAAATATATTTTTGAATTATGTATATGTATATGAATTATGTATATGTATATATATGGTAAAACTGCATAAAAGGTGTAATACATCTCCGATTTTATCGTCACTTCAATAGTTGTAGGGGAGGTTCTTCTGAGACAAAGTATCTATGAGTGTATATATATATCTATCCCGTAAATATAAACAAACACTTTTTCCACATCTGCTCTACGCAGATATAATGTAAACAAACTTCATTTTTCTTTATTTTATAATAGAAAAAGCATTAAAACTATAAAACTTTAATTTGTTATATCTCCTAAACCAATACCGTCCCCCACAAATTTCTTGCAGGGAATTACTCGGAAGAATCTCCCCACAAAATATTTAAGTAGCAATAAAATCGGATGTGTGTGTTATATTTTATACAATTTTACTATATATATAAATGCAACACGTATTTGCAAAGCATAAATGTGAAAATTTAATTGATAAAAGAAAAAAGATAAATTTTGTTAGATTTTGATAAGATAAAAAAACAAAGGTGCAGCATTAAAACAACATTGATAACTTTTAAAATTATACAAATTAAATATAAAATATAATTAGAATAAGAAGAACGATAAAAGCATTATTTTTAATTTTGTAATTAACTTTTATTTTGTCAATTTTGCAGAAAATGAGATACATGTTATAAAGGAAAGAATAAAGTTTGATATATGTTAAGGGAAAGAATTAAATAATAAAATTATCATTTGACGCATTGCGACATAAAATATAGTATGATTCATGTTTATCTTCACAATTGGTTGATTTCATAAACGTCAGATTTTAGATAAAATGAGATTTATTGTACCACTAGAGACAAGAATTGCTTATAATTGTAATATATGTTGCAATCTTAAATAAGTAATTTTTACAAACTATTATAAAACATTTCAGTTTTTCGATGAATTTGTTGATTAATCATAATTAAAAATTCTGCTGTATTAAAAAATTTCGTTTTATCTTCAACATTAATATGTTCGGTATAATTTAATTAAAATTATGTTATTCTTTTTTTCAAAATGCGCTTTTTTTCTTTTTTAATTAAAGCGCTTTCCATTTAAAGTTTAATTACGCTGGTTCTTTTGATTGAAAATATATTCAGAACTCTGAATAAGTTTACATTTGTCCAAATCATTTTGCTATTATAAAAGTTTCGGGACACCATATATACATCACCTCTTTATCTAACATTCTTTCGTCAAATCGCATTGAGTGTCTTGGTAGGAGATAAATGCGATTAAAAGTTCTTTGCACTCGGTAACATACTCTTCGTGCAATCGCGATATTGTCGATGTAGCGAATTTATAATCAATTTGCAACTGCACGCACCAGACAACTTTATAGTTTTGCACGATATCTTTTGGACGCGACACGCTATGAAAAATTTCTTGTAGGAGAAAAGGATCGTAACAGGACTCAACAATATATAGAGAGAGATACTATATATAAACTATATATAAAAGACATTTAAAAAGCTCTTGAGATGAGATGCAGTCATTAGTGAAAGGGAAAAGAGAAAGAGAAAGACTTTCTTTTTCATCAAAATAAATCAGCACAAAAAGAGTAAACATACGTCTAATAATCATGGTATCAACAAGCTTAACATAAACAAAATGAAAAATACTAAAGATTTATCTCGCTGACAACGGTCAATCGTAAACGCGTTAAGATGGAAACGCATTGATCACCGTATTAAGTAATTCTGGCCGATTCTTAATTGTTGATAGGATCGAAGTGCTTCCGTAGACCCTGCCAGCATTCGTAGTAGTCGTCGTCTAACTTGTTGCAGAGCTTACCGGCCCATTCCGTCACGGCCATGCTATACGAGGTCTCGAACATAAATGCCTGCATACCGTCGCCGATCCGCTCCGGTACCAGCTCGTTTTTGGTTGCGGTCTCGAAGCACTGTCTATCAGGACCGTGCGGGGTCATGACAGAGTGTAACGATGCACCACCGGCGGAGAAACCGTTCTCTTTTGCCTCATAACGACCCTTTATCAGCCCCATAAATTCGCTCATGCAATTTCCTAAGAATTAAATAGCAAAGTTTTACCAAATCTAGTCTATTTTTCTTAATAATTTATATAAAATATTAAATAAATAAAATAATAATTAATATTATTATTTATTATTAATTATAGAGCAAAAGACTAATTAGTTGTGTTTTATATAATTATTATAATTTTATTGAAGACCGTGAGAAGGTGTGAGAAAGAGTATCCCCTTTCCAAAAATTTATTACTTTTTTCAGTATTGTGAAAAATAGATTAAATAATAATAAAATTGTATACAATTTTAATAATTTTAATTAAAAAAGTTTAGTCATGCATAGAAATAGGTATATTAATTTGTCGAAAGAAAACATGATCTAATCAAAATTATTCTGTTCAATTAGAATGCCACAGTGTTACATGAATGACATTACTGTTTGATAAATAATATAAGCAGTATGCATATATAATATAAATTGTATTTAAAATAAGATTGAAAAGAACAAAATATAGTAAAAAGACAAACATTGGATATATTATTTCTTATAAATATAAATTATTTCAACTATGATGTTTCAAAAGAAGAACTACCGAATCAATTGCTCAATTATGTAAATTAATTCGCAAAATATAACGGAACCTTCCAATCCAAGTTGTACGCTAATCAAATTCTTCCGCGTTAAATAACGATTTAATTTCGTAAATGTTTGATGTTTGACAGATATTCTTGTGAAATCCGACATGCTGTTGACAGCGAATGTCGAATAAATCATTTAAATGATGAGTCGACCCGCCATCGTTGATTTTCATCATTGACTTATATCATTGAAAAACCGGTATGCGAAACAACGCACATTGCGTGTCATGACGATTCGCGATCGTACAACAATACAAGACGCACCGGTAGGATCTGCAATGGAAATTCCGCGCATTTTGCATATTATCGCTCTCCACGCGCTGCCGACTTATTCATTAACGTGGGGAATGGCCCGCATTGAAAACACGCTGCTATACTGGTTATCAAATCTCAGAGAAAGCAGCGAGCGGATATTCTTACTGACGCTCGCCAGTATTTTGAGATATGTGTTATGTGTTTCATATTGTATAGTACCGTATTAGCAAAGTAAAAAATCGTATAAATGTCTTTCAATTTGTGATATATACACACATTCTATAAAAAAATATTTAATAAATTTCACTATTCTACGAAAAAAGAAAGACAGTGAAATTATTTTAAAGAAGCAAGCAAATAATCATAGTTACTAGTTACTTAAAATCTCATTGAATTATTTTAGGAAATAAATCAACAATGATTTTCTGCAATTATGTGATTTAACACCAATTTTTTTTGTTATTATTTTTATTTTTTTACTTGATTTTTTAAAATAACTCTTTCTTTTTTTCTTTTTTCTAGAATAATGGAATTTATTAAATCTTTTTTTATAAGATGTATATTGTATTAAATTATTTATATTAAAAGAAATAATTATTTGACAGAATATTAATATTTTACAAAGATGTAATTTCCAGTCATTTTTTTGTAATAATTTTTTACCGATTTCAAGATGATTATTTATCGAATAAATTTCATAAATCTTTTTAATGATAAGTATATATTTACATGTTCGATATTCGATGATAAAAATAATAATTACTTTCTCCATAACAAGCAAAGAGAATTCGTCGATGTCGGCTTTCAATAAGATCCTCGATATGATCAGTATTAATTTTATAATTGAAAAATACCATCGCGCGTTTAATTCATCATCACAATTATCTCAATCAATCCTATAATTTCGCGTGTAATTTCTATGCAACGGAACGGACGCTCTCGGAACTCTGATAATGATCGCTTCTTGTAGTTTTCAATTACTTAACCCGAAGGATGCGTTCTCGTCAATAAGCATTATACCTATGCGTCTTTCTCTTTGCATGCAATAAACTTTCTCAACAAGAGCGCAATAAGAGCGCAATAATACAGCGAAACACAACAGCAACGATGACGACAAGGGCGACTGCGACATCAAACGAAAGTGACCCGTTTCGTCTTATAATCGATCGAATCGTGGTAGAAAATCGGTGAAACAACCTATCGAAGAAAGAGACATTGTGCGATCGGGAAAAATTTCGAGTTTTCTCTGTGCCAACTCGGTTGCACAATTTTCAGGAGCACTCTTCCGGAACAAAGATGCCACCGAGTCGAGTTCGGCGGAATATTCGCTCGAACTCTTGCCACATATATTCCTCGATATCGGAACAGGTGATTTTGCAATTTTAATATATCGTATTCAGTAAACATATTATAAATTGATGAATCCGTAGCTCAAACATCGTATAATTACAAATGATCAAATAACACAAAAATCCAAAGGGAATGATTAAAAGAAAGATTTACAAAGGACATCTTAAATATTTAAAATATCTTTTGATGTCTTATATTCGTTCAAAGCCACTACTTGTCAAACTTACGTTCTGTTTTTGTTTAAATGAAAGTTTAAATGCAATAATAGAAAATGTACGATATTAAACACTTGTGGCGCATAAATAGTCAATTTCAATAATCTTGCCAGATATTACTGGCACATGCTGTGATTTCTTTTACATATTAATTCATATAAAAAGAAATACGCGTGCCGGACCTTGTTCTTATTTCAACTAGCATCGACACATGTACGAAAGTGCAAAAGGAATATATTACTTTCTACTTACGATGATAGTAAGGGGGTCGGAAAGTGTGCTCCTGCACGGACCATCGGGGTGGAAAGATCACGAAGTCCGCCGCGGCGGTTCCAGGCTTGTTAGTGGGGCACGTCAACACAGTGAAGATGGACGGATCCTAGAATAGAATTAAATAAATTATTCATTTTGAGAATGTTATGATCGAACTCAAAGGATATATAAAAAAATTTATTTGCTATACATATATTCATATTATATAACATCAACGCAAAAATTTCATATTAAAATAAATTTCGTAGTAAAAAGGATCAAAGAAAAGATAGAGAGAAGAAATTTTGCACATCGGTAAAGATAATATTCAATTACTAGCATTCTTCCTGTATTGTATACATAAAAACTTTAATTAACATATATGAGAAATTTTACACGTGTAGAAATTTCTTTTCAGAACTTTCTTGGATATCTATGATCTTGGAGATTTACTCACGCAATGGTCAAAAGAGACCGAGTTGATAACCATGAATTTATCGAGATCATATTTGTAAGGTACGTAATTGCCATGCCATGCGACGACGTCGAAGGAACTGTGACCTTGATTAGCCGTAAACAGCTTTCCTTGATATTTGCATACGATCTCGTAATCGATCTCGCGATCCTCGTACCAAGCTACCGGCGTCTGAAAATCTCTCGGACTCGCAAGGCCGTTCGCTCCTACGCATCAGCCCCGCTCATTAACTCGCTCGTTAAAGAAACATTAATCTATCGAGTTTTCAATCAAAGAAATTTAATTCTTCAACAATGCGATCTATAATCGCACGTCATATTTTTTTCACAGAGTTTTATCTCAAGAATAAAATACAAAGAGTTTAAAGTCTGACATTGAAAATTATAAATTTGGATTAATTTCTTAAAGTTTCTAAAAATGTAGAGATAATTGCAACTTCTACACGCGATCGTTCGAATCGACGAGTACCTATCGGACCCAACTCCGGCAGCTGAAAATGATTGTCGAAGACCTCGAGAATATAACCCCTGGATGGACCGAAAACGGTCACGGAAAATCGCATACCCTGCTGAATGACGCATATCTCATTCGGCTCGCATCGTATCTTCCCAAACTCGGTAGTGATCTGCAAAGCGCCCAACTGCGGCACTACAATCACAATCAGAACTTTGTTTTAATATATATTTGTTAAAATATATATATTTAATATACATATATATATATTTTTTTTTAAGAAAAATGAAACGCCGCCTTCTTACTACTGCTTACCGATGAGAAAATCACCATCGGCGTTATAAAAAGCTTTGTCTTTCATAGAAGCATTGCACAAATACACATGAATTGCGATGCCCTGACGTATTTTGGGATCGCCGGCACCACACAGGGTGTGAAGACCCTCGATAAAATCGAGTTCGGGATCTCGTCGACTCGGGACGTCGAAAGTTTTCCATCTTAGCTGAAACGCGAGCGGTTAGCTTCGGAGAAACTAGTCTTTTAAGATTCAATACTTCAATTGAAGATTTCCAGTGCAACAGATAGATTCACTTTGTTTTCTTAATTTGAAAAATTTGATCTCAAAATTGATATAACTGGATTTAGATTAATTATCTACTTAAATAATTATTAATAAATTCTTGAATTCGATATCGTGAAAATTTACCTGATTGGGATTGGGATATGTCTTGTTCCAATCGTCCGTTATGTAAGATTCGATACCGTAAGCTTGAGTAAAGGGCTTGAACGGTTTATGAACGACAGACGGTTTTATCCGATAAAGCCACGATCTTTTATTTTGATTTCGTGGAACTAAGAAATAAAAATAATAGCGCTTTCAAAAATGATATTACATAATAAAATATTATATTAGCGACGAAAAAAAAAAAAAAAATTATTTAAACAACTAATTCAGAATTGCAATGATATTGCTGCAAAATAGTGTTTTAATGCTTTACTTATCATCTTATCAAAGTCTGATAAGAATGCCACGTGATAAGTTAAAGAATCGTGATAGGAATGTAATTATTTCAAACTAAGATTTATCTTTCTCAAACAAAGATAAAACTTTTCATTTATTTCACTATTCCAATTTTATAAAACGACACATTTTTTAAACCTTACTTAATACATTTTTAATTTAATTCTAAAATACACTAATTTTCTAAATTTTGATTTCAAATAGCCGTGTGATAAGTTGAAAACATATGGAAAGTCTCGAATAAAACGCGCGATTTTACTCACCGGTGAATGCTGTTCCGGACAATTGTTCGGCATAAAGATTGTATGGACAATTCTGCGGATTATTCTGCCCAACGGGTAGTGCCCCTGGACAGCGCGGATCCTCGCTGGAGAACTCACAGCCGAAACCCGTAAGATACTAAAAGATACATATCACTTTTCGATACAACACCATACTATTTTTTCTTATTAGATTAATACACTAGTTCTCACTATATCAAGTTCTCTTTTTAAACTTTTGCAGTTTTTTTTTTATCAAAAGTGTGTTGCAAGTATAAATTGTATACTTTTGTACGCTTATTTAAAATAGACTAATGCTATTTTAAATTCTAAAAATATATCATAAGGAAAAGTTTAGACTATTTACAGAATACTCATTTATATAGACGATTTTTCAGCTATTATTTTAACAATAAAAAGACAACAATTTTTAGCATAACAAAAATAAAAACTACAAATTAAATTTTTTTTGAAAAAATTGCAAAATCAATAACTTCGCTACCTTGAGCTCGTCCTTCATGACGCCAACAGTGAAATTCTTTTCTCTGGGGGCACGGCGTCTCTTTCGTTGACGCAAAATATACGGAGATTTCCACGGCACTCCACCGTTTTATATAAATGCGGTTGTCCTTAGGCGACGCAATAGCGAAATCAATGTTATACAAAAAAACATGTTTATCTGCTCGTGGACCAATCAGGCACAACTATCCGACTACGTTAACAGGCACGGCCGCCTCTGATAACCAGTCAAAGAGCCAGAAATTCCACTTCATGCCACGGAATTTATCGTCGAGCCTCTCGTGGCCTAGACGAGCCCCTCGCAACAGCACCGTGGTTCACTGGTTTACTAATCGTCATTTGATTTTGTCGACTTGTGTGACTCGTATTCAAATTAGTCTCTAACGTCGCCAGATATTTTCCATAGGATACCAAATATACCTGTGTTTAGTAAATAGTTTTCACAGTTTTGAGGCAGCACTGACGACATAGAAATATTCTTTTTATGTACATCTTTGTGTGTTTTTGAATAATTATATATGTATTTAATTTTATTCAGTAGTAATTTTCCCAATTATGAAATTAAATTTGCATAAAGTCGCATAAGACTCGTTGCAAACAAGATTTAATTCAAAAATCTTAAAAAATTCTTTTCCAATATTTTTCAAAATTCTTCGAAAAAAGAAAGATTGTATAATAACATTCTCCTTCGAGTGTCTCTAATATATCTAAATGTGATGTATGAATATTTAATATACATATAATGATAACGTAATACTTTTTTCTTAAATCAAGAATAATATTTAAATATTTTACATTTATTTTTCCTTAAATAATTACTTGTCTATTGCATACTTGTCAAATGCTTGATTTTTATCGTGTTGATTGAAAACACTCTCGTATCTTTAAGAAAGATTTATGAGCAATAGACGTGTACTTGAAAAGTATCACACTCCCATGTTGATTGCCTAACGTCATTTTAAAATTTACAAACTCATCTTGTTTGCTATGTAATGTCGTATTAAAGTATGCATGCTTGCGTTTTGCAGTATTTGTATAATACGTTCTGTTATTATTTATAAAAAGTTATTATATTCTTTTATCAATAATTTAATTGAACAAATGAGTTATGTTGTCACTCCCCGGGCGCAATAATCTTTTCAAATTTATATCAATCAATTTAAATTATTCTAATGCAGCAAAAAACTTTTTTATATAATTTATAATTAATATAATATAATACAATATTACATTAATTACATATAAACAATTTAAAACAGAAAATAGTTTAGACTATACATAGAGTAATAAGAAATATATATTTATAAAGTCGATCTCTGTTTTATCATAGTATGCTTTATCTCACAGCTTTGTATAGATTACAATGCAGGGATTAAGAAAATTTCTCATATCTTCCTGATAAAAACAATAAATATTCGTTCTGTTTTTCGTCGAACTTAATCGATCATCTTACAGTCCAGGAAATATCTAAATCCGCAGCATTCTTGCATTGAAGTGCATTCACCAGAAAATTTTATAAATTTATCTAATTGTTTTCACCTTGCTGATTATTTATCGGTTTTCGCGAAAAGTTTGTTGACCGCGAGAAAGTTTCGCGTCACGCCGAACGAGTACGCCTCCTCGCATCTTTGGCGTAATTACACGCGAGTTTCCATTAATCATGATTACAACAAAGACGTTTATTTCACCATGATTCAGGTAAAGTCAAAGAAACAGCGACAAAAGAGATCATTTCAATTCCAGAATTCGCTGACTCATATTATTGACAATCCTACAATACTTTTTATAACTGTTGGAAGAAAAGAGATAAGGAGACGTGTGTGTTATAGTAATTATTATATAAATAAGATTTATCTATATGTATTTTTAATGTTGCGTTACATTAAAATATATTTTATATATATTGCAGTATATATACATATAAAATAGATTTTATTTATACGCTGGTCAAATAATTTTCTATCATTTTACATATAAGTAGTTATATTTGCATCAATTGATAATTGATAACAATCAGTTAAAGTAATAAAGTTTCAGATTTAAACTCACTTAAATAGCAGCGATTGCGATGCAGAAAATAACACTCGCCATAAACAAGGCATTTGCTATAATTGTGCTCTATATTCTCGAACTTTCACCGCGAGAAGGATTAGTTATTTACTGATGACACATAATGACAAGCCAATCACGTTCACTTGCAAAAGTTTTTAGTTTTTGCAGTACGAACAGGATCGTACGCAACGAAACGCTTTCAAGTATCGGTCACGATGTGAGCAAGTAAATGGAAATTGCGACAAGTTTAATTTAGATGCGTAACAGATTTGCATACAGATTGATGCACGCGTTGTTTTTATGATCGACGATCGCGTAGAAAAAGAGGAATTTATATTAATTACAGCGTTTGCTACAGTTGCAGACAGATTTATGAGCCGCGGTTATAAATAGTAACTTAGTATTTATTTTCTTAATTACAATAATTTACTTGCAAAATTAGTTCATTATTTTTTATTGTGCACTCATGTAATGCTTATATGTTTATTGCAAGTTTGATTGCTTATGGTGGAATAAATATCTATTTATTTTCATTCATATTTATATAAATAAATTCGGTTACCAAGTTTTACTCTATTTTGTAAAAATAAATTTTACCGGAAAAGCGACGAAAACCTCTAATGGAATGCACTTTATACATTGCACAATATCGCTCAAACTAGTTTTCGAACTGACAAAAACTGAAATGATAGTGCAGAGTTTTTTGGTAAGAGAGCGGTTACATATCGGGAAGTACTAAATTTTTGGAACGTTGACTTGAAAACCGCTTGAACTAATTTCGTTCCGCTCGCGGAAAATGTCAAATTGCTTAAAAGCTAATATATACCAAAATCCAGTTTTACAGATAATTTAATAAATGTTAAATTTAGCGATCTTTGATTTAGTTCCATTCGTTGATTCTATTAATTATGACATTTCGTCATATTATTTTAGTTAAAAAAAATGAAATTCAGCGATCACCATAGCAAATAGAATAATTTAAAAGTTTAGTTAGTAATAATTTTGTAATTAAAAAATGTTACAATTATTGGTAAATTAATCTCTCTAATAATAGCCAAGCGCGTTGAAAAAAATTTTCGAATTATTTTTATTACTCTCTCCTTTGATACATTAATTTATATTTTGTGTTAATTATAAAGTAATGAGTCAGGTTTCTTTTTTATACTCAGACTATTAGCCTCGTTCGATTAATTAGTCACGAGAAAAGAACAATACTAAAGTAACCATTATCGCAACTATAAAATGAATGGAAAAAAAGAAATGGTCGATGCTGAAAAGATCGGCTTTCTTCTTTAGAATTACTCAATCCTATAAATTACTAGTATTAGTATTCGCAAGAAATTGTATGCGTGATAATCCTACGAATTATGAGTTTTTATTTATAAACATTTATTGTTGCAAAAACTGACGAGGTTCGCACTGAGACTCGCAACGGCACCTGCGAGAAAAGACGCAACGCAGCAGAAAGATTATTCTTTACAGTTATAGTGAGATCAGGCAAGAGGAGAAGGTGAGAAATACGAGCATGGTGGGAGCGACACAAGATGCCTCTAAGAGAGGAAAGAGCGGTGCCACCTCGTGGTGACGACGACTTCTCTCTTGTCCATCTCCTTGCTGGAGAGGAGACTTCCTTTTGCATATCGAGAGAGAGAGAGAGAGAGAGAGAGAGAGAGAGAGAGAGAGAACTAACGGCGAATGCAAATCCATGTTGAAAGAAAAAGAACTCAATCTCCTGTGCACGCTTTCTAAGTCGCATTTACTTTTCAAGAGGATGCTTCTCGTCAAATTAATAACAAATAAGAATGTTGATGCTAATTTATGCCGATAACTATGTTTCGATAAGATCTTTCGTAACTAAAATTTTTGAAAAAAAGTAAAAGTGATAAAAATGATAAATCAACTCTTCCTGTTAATTTTCATTTAAATTAATGTAAAAATTATGTTAGAAAATTGATCTAATGCGTTATTTAATGTTTTCTTCAATGCCCCAAGAATCTCCAAACACAATTTATCATATAATAATACGATATTAATATACAGGAAAAGCCACAAAATCCCTCAATAAATAACTAAAGCGTCTATAAATATGTATATAAAAAACGATTCTCAAAAATGTTTTAAATATTTATCATATAAAAACAATTTAGAAATTTAAAGATATCTCTGCCAGTAAAAACTTTCCACGAGGATTAGCCGACATCCTTCCAAAAATCACAGGTAAACTGGAGCGTAGCGGAACAAGCCGCAGGATCTGACGGCGTCGGGAGTAGGACAAACGCGCGAGGAAAGGCAAAAGGACGAGAGATTCGAGAAAAGTCTCTCCGATGGACAGAGAGCCGAAGAGTCGTATCCCTACCTCGACATCTATCGTACGAGAACAGGTGGGCTCTCGGCGATCTGCTCGAGAACGATGAGAGAGTCCCGGTCCGCCGCTTCCTGCGCTCGCATCGGCCTCCTCCGAGAGAGAATCGTGCTGGTGCGAGTTCGTTGGCCGACCGTCACCCGCGCGCGCCCGTTTTCGCGATCGCTCTCGCGCTCGCTGTTCTCTGAAAGTCGAGCGTAAATTCTGGAAACCGGATCGGAAAAGGGTACCTGGACCCGACCAGCGACTAATGCCGGTTCGATCCCGCTTCGTCAATCGAAAAGGTGAAAACCTGATGCACTCGCAGTTCGAGAAATCGACCCGCGTCACCCGGCCAGCCAGCCGGCAGGTGCTAACTCGCGCGTGACTCCGGTGTTAGCTTTGAGTCACAGTCGCACGACTACTCGCGTAAGCCAGACGTGCTCGCCGAACTGACAAGAGTCAATGAAAAATAGCACTGTGTGTAGAAAATTTCCAAGATCTCGGACGTTTCTTCTGCAGAGCAGTTTTAAAATCTGGATACCAGAAGATATCCTGAGAATTTTTTCAAAATGGAACATTTTGGATGGAATAGAAGATAATCTTATTGTTAGACCAACTGCAAGAGATCCAGGAGATTCTGAGAATATTTTTTAAAGTATGGCTGCTGTGATCAGAAGTGGCCGTAAAGATTTAACAAAGTTCTAGATATTCCTTGAAAGATAAAAAATCAGCATACATAAATGTGAGAAAATTCAGTTTTTGAAATTTGAATCTTAAAC